GTATTCTGCTCCATATCTTTGCTGAAAAAAAAATCCCAATACGTCTAAATTAATTGGTTTACGTGAAAGTTATAGCGTTTACAAATGGTGATATATACTGAAATTTTTTTTTAAATTTCTACTAGTAATGGCGGCGATCAGCAACTTATAGTGGGACTACGGCAGATTTTCTGAAACTTGGGGTCTGGGGGGGGGGGGGGGGAACTAACTTGGTGTCACTGACAATCCCAGTGACTCCAATAAAGTGATCAGTACTAATAAAAAGCAATGAAATTTACGTCCTTTTTTCCCACATATATAGCTTTTTTTTTGGTGTTATGTGATCGCCTGTTTTATTTTTTTGTGCTATAAACAAAAAATTACGGACAATTTTGAGAAAAAACAATATTTTTGACTTTTTGCTATTAAACATGTCTAGTAAAAAAAAATGTAAAAAATCTAATTTCATCATAAATTTAGGCCAAATTGTATTCTGCTCCGTGTCTTTGCTGAAAAAAATCCCAATACGTCTAAATTAATTGGTTTACGTGAAAGTTATAACGTTTACAAATTGCGGTATAGATACTGGGATTTTTTCTTTTCTTTTAAACTAGTAATGGCGGCGATCAGCGACTTATAGCGGGACTGCGGCAGGCATTCTGACACTGTGGCGGGGACTGACTAACTGCCACTGACATCCCCAGTGACACCAATACAGTGATCAGTGCTAATAAAAAGCACTGACGCTGTACTAATGGCACTGCGCAGGAAGGGGTTAACATGAGGGGTGATCAAAGAGTTAACTGTGTGCTGTGTGTGTGGTACTGTGTCAGCACATGCTTTGTATGGCGGTGCTATGCAGAGCCATACAAAACAGAGTGCTAGAACTGACAGGGGAGAGATCTGTATTGTTTAATACAGACCTCTCCCGTCAGTGATACGCGGCGATCACCGGATGCCGGTGGGGATCACCTGAGACCCAGTGATCGACAGCTGAGGCTGCCACTGGAAGCGCGGGTAGGGCGTGTATGCGTCCCCTACCCGGAAATGCAAAATTACACATATATATATATATATACGTGATTTTGCGAAGCCCTGTAGCAGTATTTCTGCTATAGGGCGGCGGGAAAGCGGTTAATATTAGTAGGTGTAAAATGTATTTTTTGTTTCTATTTTGGGGTCATACTCAACTTTCAGGCCCTGTTCACACTTTTGCATGCTGGAAATGCGCATATCTGCGTGTGTGCGTTCCTGGAGCGCACAAAAAATGCTCAAAGCACTTGCGGGCGTCATTCATTCTAAATAGCACACCAAACGTGCACAAAAAATGCCCTAAAATGCTAGTTAATTCCTTGGCCCCAACAGTACGTAAATATCTGGCTTCTCAGCGGCTGGGCCTTGACTTTGAGAAGCTGCATATTCGCATACTCACTGTAACAAACGTGCTGAGAGCGTGCCCTGCACTCTCCCGGCACATTTACCAGCGCCTCACGCAAGTAGCAATTGGGAGCTTTCCAATCATGTGACAGCCAATCACAGCAGTCACATGACTCTAAGCCCCGCCCCACCTCCCAGCATCACAAACCCCTTAAAGTGTTCCTAAACCCAGGACCCTGCATTCACTATATCCGCTCTCCCCGGACCCTGCATTCACTATATCCGCTCTCCCCGGACCCTGCATTCACTATATTCGCGCAAAACCAAATCCAACAAGCCTTCACCCACTACAAATATGCCTTCCACACCTACACCTCCTCCCTGCACGCAGCCAAACAAGCCTACTTCCTGACCCTCATCAAGGCCCTCTCCTCCAATCCTCGCCGACTCTTCTCCACCTTCAACTCTCTATTCTCTCCACCCCCACCTCCACCCAGCACCTCACTCACCGCCCTTGAGATTGCCAATCAATCAAAAACAAGATTGACACAATTCGCAAGGACATCGCTGCAACTCACACTCCCTCCCAACCCGTCCACTCTCACACAGCTACCCCTTCATCCCCCCTCTCCCACGGCCCCACCACTGCTCTGACCTCCACTTCCACCCCACATTCCTCATACTGAAGCCCCCTCAACACTCCACACCTTTGACCTTACTACCATCGAGGAAGTCTCCAAGGTCCTCTCTGATGCCCGCCTCACCACTTGCCCCCTCGAACCTATCCCCTCACAACTCGTACAACCTCCTTCCCCCTCCATCCTATGCTCCTTCACCCATCATCTTTAATCTCTCCCTCTCCTCCGGCACTTTCCCCTCCCCTCTGAAGCATGCACACATCACCCCCATACTTAAAAAGCCCCTCCTTGGACCCCAATGACCCAAACAACCTCAGACCCATCTCCCTGCTCCCATTCACATCCAAACTCCTCAAGCGCCTAGTCTACACCCACCTAAGCTCTCACCTCAACAACAACAAGCTCCTCGATCCCCTACAGTCCGGCTTCTGTCCCCTACACTCCACCGAAACCGCCTTACTCAAACTCTCCAACGACCTGCTAACCGCCAAAGCTAATGGCCACTACTCAGTGCTCCTACTCCTCGACCTCTCCGCAGCCTTCGACACAGTCGACCACCCCCTCCTCCTCAAAAAAATACACTCCCTCGGCTTCAGAGATTCTGCTCTCTCCTGGCTCTCATCCTACCTGTCATAACGCTCTTTCAGCGTTACCTATAATGCTACCACCTCCCCCTCACTCCCCTCTCTGTTGGGGTCCCTCAAGGCTCCGTCCTCAGGCCCCTTCTCTTCTCCATCTACACCTCCTCCCTTGGCCAACTCATACACTCTCACGGCTTTAACTACCACGACGACACACAAATCTATCTCTCAACCCCCCCCCCCCCACCTCACCCCCTCAGTCTCCGCTCGAATCACACACCTACTGAGCGACATATCAGACTGGTTGTTGCTCCACTTCCTTAAACTGAACCTCTCCAAAACGGAGTTTCTTGTCTTCCCCCCAGCCCGGACCCACCCCCCATTGACTTCTCCATCACGACCAACAACGCCACCATCAAACCCGCCCCGCAGGCCAGAGTACTTGGTGTCATTCTGGACTCCAACCTATCCTTCCAGCCCCAAGTCCAATCTTTAACAAACTCATGCAGACTCCACCTCCGCAACATCGCCAAAATACGCTCGTTCCTGACCCCAGAAACCACTAAACAGCTCCCTCATCATATCACGACTCGATTACTGCAACTCCCCTGCTACTGGCCTGCCTCGCCGCTGGCTATCCCTGCTTCAGTCCATCCTGAATACAGCTGCCAGACTCATTCACCTTTCCAACCCTCCGTTTACACACGCCACCCCCCTTTGCCAATCCTCCACTCTGGCTTCCGATTGCGCAACGGATCAAATTCAAAATCCTAACACTGACGTACAAAGCCGTCCACCATATTGCCCCGAACTACATCACCAACCTAATATCCAAGTACCACCCAGCACGCACACTCCGCTCCTCACAAGACCTCCTTCTCTCTAGTTCCCTGGTCTCCTCCTCCCATGCCCGCATCCAGGACTTCTACAGGGTGTCACACATCCTCTGGAACTCCCTGCCCCAACCCATCAGATTATCACCTACTCTCCTCTCCTTTAGGCACACCCTGAAAACCCACCTCTTCAGGGAAGCCTACCCCACCCCCGACCCCCTGCTAACTTGCCGACCTCCTCCACTCTTCCTACCACTCCATCCCCCACAGCTTTCTCCTCCTGTGCCACCATCCCCTCCTAGATTGTTGCATTGTATTGTTATTGTTCTGTCACGTTCTGTCCCCCTTTGTAATGTACAGCGCTGAGCGAACTATTGGCGCTTTATAAATACTGTATAATAATAATAATAGCCGCTCTCCCCGGACCCAGCATTCACTATATCCGCTCTCCCCGGACCCCGCATTCACTATATCCGCTCTCCCCAGACCCCGCATTCATTATATCCGCTCTCCCCGGACCCCGCATTCACTATATCTTGTCTCCCCGAACCCCGCATTCACTATATCCGCTCCCCCCGGAGCCCGCATTCACTATATCCGCTCTCCCCGGACCCCGCATTCACTATATCCGCTCCCTCCGGACCCTGCATTCACTATATCTGCTCTCGCCGGACCCCGCATTTACTATATCTGCTCTCCCCGGACTCTGCATTCACTATATCCGGTCTCCCCGGACCCCACATTCACTATATCTTGTCTCCCTGGACCCTGCATTCACTATATCCACTCTGCCTGGACCCTGCATTCACTATATCCGCTCTCCCTGGACCCTGCATTCACTATATAGTGAATGCAGGGTCCGGGGGAGAGCGGATATAGTGAATGCAAGGTCCGGGGAGACCAGATATAGTGAATGCGGTGTCCCGGGAGAGCGCATATAATGAATGCAGGGTCCGAGGAGAGCGCATATAGTGAATGTAGGGTCCGGGGACAGCGGATATAGTGAATGCAGGGTCCTATGTTTAGTAACTCTTTAATAGATGGGAACCCCTGGTTTTCAAAAATATGGAAACTTTTTTCAATGAGAATAAAAATATATAATATGACACACACACACACACACACGATAATAAAACAATGATTTTTATTTAACTTTAGTGTTATAGTGATGAAAGAGTAGCCAGTTCAGCCCCAACCCAGTCCAACTGGTGAAACCCTCAAGCTGGTTTCAACTCAGGTATATCGATGACATAAAAAGCCAGATTCTTATGATGGATAAGATCTAGAGACAAATAATTTTCTAAACTCCTAACTGGAATATGACTTCCCTCCTGTGTGTACACTTTGATGCCTGATCAGGGATCTTTTACAGGAAAAGCAGCTCCCGCATTCTGTACATGAATATGGTTTTTCTCCGGTGTGAGTTCTCTGGTGCAAACTAAGTTTTTGTTTGCTGGAAAAACATCTCCCACATTCCGTGCAGGTGAACGGCTTTTCCCCGTGTGACATCTCTGGTGTCTAACAACACTGTCTTTGAGAGGAAAACATTTCCCGCATTCGGGGCACGAAAACGGCTTCTCCCTGGTGTGCACAGGTTGATGTCTCATCAAGGCGCGTTTCCTGGGAAAAGATTTTCCACATTCGGAGCATGAAAACGGCTTCAGTCCAGTGTGAGTTCTCTGGTGCATTACTGCAGTTGATTTCTGTCTAAAGCATTTCCCGCATTCAGGACATGAAAACGGTTTCTCTCCAGTGTGTATCCTCTCGTGTTTAATGAGACTAGACACCAGAGAAAAGCACTTCCCGCACTCTGAACATTTATATGGCTTCTCTCCCGTGTGAACTCTTGTGTGTCTGATGAGGGACCCTTTCGAAGTAAAGCTTTTCCCACATTCAGAACATGAAAATGGTTTCATTTCATCCTGATCTTCAATTTGAACTTTTTCAATACACTCCCCATGAGTAGAGGGAGCAGAGGACTGATCTGCACTATGAGGTGTTGGATGGCAATTTGGGGTATTTTTCTTTTCTGAAGAGTCTGATGGGACGTCATCAACTTCCGTTTTAGCATTTGTCATGTTATACTTTCTATATCGTCCATCTGTAGGACAAGAAAGGAAAACAATTAACTGCTGTGCAATAAAAAAAACAGTAGGACACTGCTTAGATGCCAGAGGGCCTAAATATCATGGACTTTAACAGGGGTCTCCAAACTTTCTACACAAAGGGCCGGTTTACTGTTGTTCAGACTTTAGGAGTGCCGGACTGCGGCCAGTGAGAATAAACTTTGCAATATAAATTGCAGCACTAAACATATAACGCTTATAACAAATGTGTAATATACAATGCTCAAAAAAAATGAAAGGAACACATGGAAGACCCATCAGATCTCAATGGGGAAAACTCTCCTGCTGGATCTCTATACTGATATGGACTGGGTAATGTGTTAGGAACGTAATGATGCCCCATCGTTTGATGGAAATGAAAATGATCGACCTACAGAGGACTGAATTCAAAGACACCCCGAAAAACAAAGTGAAGAAATGATGCAGCAGGCGAGTCCATTTTGCTGAAATTTCATTGCAGCAACTCAGAATGGCCCTCAGTAGTTTGTATGGCCCCCACGTGCTTGTATGCATGCCTAACAACGTCGGGGCATGCGCCTAATGAGACAACAGATGGTGTCCTGGGGTATTTCCTCCCAGATCTGGACCAGGACATCACTGAACTCCTGGATAGTCTGAGATACAACCTGGTGGCGTCGGATGGACCGAAACATGATATCCAGAAGTGTTCTATTGGAATTGGTTCAGGCGAGCGTGGGGGCCATTCAATGGTATCAATTACTTCATCCTCCAGGAACTGCCTGCATACTCTCCCCACATGAGGCTGGGCATTGTCGTGCACCAGGAGGAACCCAGGACCCAATGCACTAGGAGGAACCCATGACCCACTGCACCAGGAGGAACACAGGACCCACTCCACCAGCGTAGGGTCTGACAATGGGTCCAAGGATTTCATTCCCATACCTAATGGAAGTCAGGGTTCCATTGTCTAGCCTGTAGAGGTCTGTGCGTCCTTCCATGGATATGCCTCCCCAGGCCATCACTGTCCCACCACCTACTGACATGGTTTAAAAGTACAGCCATGCCGCTCTACACTTACATGTCCAGCCAACACAACACAGATCAGTGCGACGGTGTGACATCAGAGAGGAGCTACATGCATGACGCCACGCCGCCACATTGATCCATGTTGTGGCAGCGGGACATGTAAGTGTATAGTGGTATTTCTGTACTTTTGAGCCTGTCAGTTACTCTATTGCTTGTGGAAATTCTGTTTAATAAATGCTACACTATGAGGTATATTTTATTCATGGTGTGTGGCGCTACTTCATGAGCTTGTGAGTGGATGACAGCCCCTAGTGGAGGATAAAGGAAGGAGTTGGCCAGACCTGTGGAGACCAGTGGGAACCGGGACTAATGCCTAGTTATGGAATGAAATGAGCTCCTCAGCTGCTTATAACCTGGCAGCTCATCCATGTGGTGAGTGTGTATTTTGCCCATCTGGTGGAGGAGATTCACAGTATTCCTGGTGTTATTTGGTGTTAAACAGTCCCTGCGGTGGTGGTATGGAAGATGAATTGATTCTTCTGTGAACACAGACATACCTTGGACACTATTTTTATTTTATAGTTCTTTTTGGGACTTTATTATCATAGCATTGTATTTTGTATGTTACACATTTGTTATAAGCTTTATTTGTTTAGAGCTGCAATTTATGTTGTAATTTTTATACGGTAGGGGTGTAGTGATCTTTATTGCAAGTAGCTCGAGATTCCACTAATTTTCTAGTGTTGACTGTTAATTTTTTATTTAGTGTTCCATCTTTGGTATTACAGGGAAGAATAGTGCCTCATTGCTGGTGTCAGTGAAGAAATAGTGCCTCATCATTGGTGTAAGTGAACGAATAGTGCCCCATCATTGATGTCAGTTTGGGAATTATTGCCCTGTTCTTGGTGTCAGTGGGAGCAATAGTGCCCCATCATTGGTGTCGCTAAAGGAATAGTGTCCCATAATTGAGGAGTGTAGAAAGTATTGCCCTGTTCTTGGTGACAGTGGAGCAATAGTGCCCATCATTGGTGTTGGTGAAGGAATAGTGTCCGATCATTGATGTCAGTTTGGGAATTATTGCACTGCTGTTGGTGTCAGTGAGAGGAATAGTTCCTCATCATTGGTGTCAGTTAAGGAATAGTGTCCTTTCATTGAAAGCAGGGCAGGAATTATTGCCCTGCTCTTGGTTTCAGTGGGAGGAATAGTGCCCCATCATAGGTGTTAGAGAAGGAACAGTGCCCCATCATTTAAGCCAGTGCAGGGATCATTGCCTTGCTGTTGGTGGTCAGTGGGAGGAATAGTGCCTGAAGGGCCAGAAAAAAGTGAGCGAAGTGCTGCATCCGGCCCCCAGGCCACAGTTTGGAGACCACTGGACTATAACATAGACCAAGAACAAGGATTGGGAATTTTCAAATTTCTGAATTACAATCCGAAGAGTCCATGTAGAGTTTGCCCCTCGATGGATGATACTATTTTATGAATGGTTACTGTATTTAGCTTTTGTGACTCACCTGTGTTGATCTCTATAGGGACGTCCTCCTCTTTAATCCTCACATGTCGTTCTTCCTCCTCCTCAGATTCTGAGCTATCTGTGAATAAAGATGAGAGTGAAGCCCCCTGTACTGAGATGTATGAGAGACCCCAGAGAGTGTGTGTGGGGGGAGACTGGTCACATCTCAATGACATGATGTGAGGAGGAGAGCCGGAGTCTAATAGAGGCTGATGGCTCCTGACACCCCCACTGGGCACATACTGTCCCCCCATTACTGTCTACTGACAGAGGGGGGGGGAGAAGAAGAGATGGTTGTAGTGATTGAACAAGGAGGATCTGGGACTCTTCTCTAGATTTTGTGTTTATTCCTCACCTGTGCTGATCTCCGGAGGATCTTCCTCCTCTTTACATGGATCATCATCCCTCATATATGTCTCTTCTTCATCTTTTACTTCAACTTTAACAACAATCAGGCCTTCACCCTGGATAAGACACCATACAGAAAGATATTACATATAACGAATTGATAGAGATGAGGAATACCAGTGTTAATTAAGATCCTCAGTCCCATCTACCTGATCCTCCTGAGGGATCTCCTGATGTTCCTGTGTGGAGTCCCGGGAATACAGAGGGCGGGGACATCTCTCTGGTGGGTTCCCATTACTGGATCCATCTGTAGGAAACACACACACTGACTGAATACATTGTTTGTATGTCTTTATATCAGAGGATGTGTGTATCTAGGTGGATCCTCAATACAAGAAATAATAGTCTCCTCTTACCCGGTGATTTGAGGGGCAGCCGGTTCTCCATCATGCCTTCCTTCTACAGCAAATCCTTGTGTCCTTCTAAATACTTCCACTCACAAAGAAATATAAAGTGACAACCTGACACCCTGAACCTGACATACTATGTCTTTCTATCAGAGGATGTGTGTATCTAGGTGGATCCTCAATACAAGAAATGAAAGTCTCCTCTTATCCGGAGGTGTGAGGGAAGGCCGGTCCTCCATCATGACGTCCTTCTACAGATCCTTGTGTCCTTCTATATACTCTCACTCCTCTATTGTTTCTATGTCTTTATATCAGAGGATGTGTGTATCTAGGTGGATACGAGAAATGAAAGTCTCCTCTTACCCGGTGATGTGAGGGGCAGCCCGTTCTCCAGCATGATGTCCTTCTACAGATCTTTGTGTCCTTCTATATACTCCTACTCTTCTATTGTTTCTATGTCTTTATGTCAGAGGATGTGTGTATCTAGGTGGATCCTCAATACAAGATATGAAAGTCTCCTCTTACCCGGTGATTTGAGGGGTGGACGGTTCTCCATCATGAAGTCCTTGTAGTGATCCTTGTGTCCTTCTAGATGCTCTCAGTTTTCTGGATGTCTCTGTATGTAAAATGTATTGTAAAAAAAAAATTGAAAATAAAGTTTGTCTTAAATAAATGTGAACCTGACTGCCACAGATGCCTCAGTCTTGGAGGAGACATTTCCAATAACAGAACAATGCAAAAGTCAGAAGAGGTCCTCAGCACAATTTTGAAGCTAGCCAGCAGAAAAAAAAGCTTCTCAAATTCTCAAGGCAAAAAAATGCAGAGATAAAGGCAATTTACAATCATAAAAACCAGCACATCCCTGCTGAAAGGAGAGAGATCTGTGTTGTTTCCACTCATGGATCTCTCTCCTGTCAGCTGCTCCGCTGATCACCAAGTCCCGGCCATGAAACGCTGACTGGGACCCTGTGATTGACACCTATGGCAGCATGGGTAGGACAGCACGCACGCCCCCCTACATGGAAATGCAGAGTCATGTATATATGTGTCCATTCACACACAGAGCTCTACCCCTCCTGATTGACTCACTGGCTGTGATTGACTGGCTGCTGCCTCAGACAATCAGGAGTAATAGTTCCTGGAGAACCGAAGCTCTCAAGGACATCACTGGATCAGGATGGAGCTCAGGTAAGTATTGGGTGGGCTGGGGGCTTGCTATACACAGAAGGTTTTTTATCTTCATGCACAGAATGGATGAAGGTAAAAAACTTAGAGCCTTTAGAACCTTTTTAACCACTTCCAGTCCGGACACTTTCACCCCCTTCCAGTCCAGGCCAATTTTCAGCTTTCAGCGCTACCACACTTTGAATGACAGTTGCGCGGTCATGCAACACTGTACCCATATGAATTTTTTAGCATTTTTTGAGACAGATAAAGCTTTATTTTGGTGGTATTTATTCACCACTGGGATTTTTTATTTTTTTTTGCTATGTAAATGAAAAAGTCCAAAAATTT